TATGTTATATAATATATATGTATTATATTTTATCATTTTTTTTTTATTGTAATCTGTGGGTTACCATTATCTAGAATTATAGGCCCAATAAGGTGTTTATTTGATTAATATTATGTAATACATTGCGCGTTTGTATACTGATTACTGAAGCGTCTGAATCATCTGAATCATCTGAATCATTTAAATAATATTGAAATATAAAAAACATTACCATTCTCAAAATGCTTACTATTCTTAACTTTTAACAATTTATAATAGATATTATTACTGGAAGTTTTACATAAATATTTAATACGTGGGCCCAAAATTTTATGAGGAGAGTGGTTGAAAATAATGTATAATGTATCTACGAAATAACCAACAATATCTCGAATTCAATTTTCAACATCAATTTTGCAATCGCACATTCGCACATACAATGTCAGATCAATAAAAAATTATTATAATTACACAATGAAAATTTTAAAACCGTCGCCATTCACCATTATATAGATATATTAGAATCCATATTATAATACACACACATTTTATGTAGGTATAATACCTATTAGGTATGTTATCGGGATGTAATTTCGTAATGTCTGTGATTCTGGTTGCCGATTTTGGTTGGATATATAACACAATATATTTTAAGCACTAATGACCAATGTGTAAATAATAAATATTTCAACTGTATAATATTTACGTAGGTAGGTATACTAGTGGAAAATATTATTCAGAAGCGAACACTTCTAAGTTGTTATTATTTTTTATTTGGGTTTGAACATTGAGTGGGCGATTAATGATTATTATGTCTCATCAGTTATTTTGTATCTTTATATAGCACAAAAACACAAATACTAATATATTATAGGTACCTATATGCCACATAGACTACAGTGTAGGTATTATTAAAGTCCACTGCAGTATAATAATTAACAGTAAATAATTATAAAAAATAATGTAGAAAATGTATAGTCAGTAACATAAATTGATGTATCAGGAAAAAAGCATAGTGTTGCTCAAATGATTATTATGTGAGCTCAGTTCTACACTTCTGCCCCTTATAATATTGTCTAACTATACATTGCACTTGATTCAATACTGTAGATAAGGTGTTTTCTCTAATAGAACGTACCATTTGTATAATTTTACTGTTAAACCTACCAATTATCGTATTTCTAATATTTCTATTACTTATTTTTTATATAATATAATAATAAATTATTTCACTGTTGGTCTTGTATCAATATTCAACACCCACTCAACCAACTTAAAAGTATTGCCCGAGTAACACTTGGACCTTATGTTACACGTCATTGGTCAGCTAGTACCTATGCATTTGCTATTTTTGATTATTTTATACATTAAGCGTGCAGCAGATACCTACAATTAATTTTAAATCAACAAAAGAGAAATTAATTTTTTAAATAAATAATTAAACAATACACACAAGTAATTTGAAAATTTTTTTTTTTTGATACCTAATTTTTTATCTTTTATTTTTTTAAATTTTAAATATGTCAGTAATATTATATCACGTTAAATTTATCTGGACATATTTTAATTGGCGCTTACAAATATAATATCTATATCGCATACTACTTATTATATACATAATCGAGAATAAAAAATAAAAATATAATTTTATATTATAGGCTTATTTAGGCTTATAGGTTCATATTAATGCTAAAAATGTTATCCCCCTCCCCTTGAAATGTTAATGAACTTCCTCCTATTATATTATTGTTATTTTAAAAATTAATAAGTAGGTACCTACCAACACCAGTGTAATTTTGTTATTTGTATAAGATTCTATATTATACATTTATACTCAATTCTTCTGTAACTCCACGTATATTAATTTGAAAAAGTTTTATCTCGAACTTTGGCACACCTACTGCTAGTAAAATAATTCAAAATACCTCCCTACAAACTCGTATTTCATCTGATCAACAGCATTACAAAGAGCACATAAAAATGTATTTATTTATTTATTATAAATTTATTAGTGTCAATGCATTAATAATAATTTCGAAAAGAAAAATCTGGATGCATACAATATAATAAATATACATAGATACGTGGGAACACAATAATTTATTTATTTTTTAAATCGGATTATTGTATGTACCTACTTATATTGTACCCATGCTATTATTTACGTATCATACTCAATCATATGTACCTAATACCTATACATTTACTGTTAGAAAGCTTAAAACTCTACTCATCTACTTGTAGCTATAGGCAAAAGTAGACATCAACAAATTAAAAAATTAATTTTTTTGAAACTTAGTAACTTAACTAGTTAGTTTATTTTCTAACTTAGCTAGTTTAATTTACCATTAAAATAACTTAGCTTTTATGAAATAATTTAAAATGATATATCAAGTTAATAAAGTTGGTTTTAATAGTTTTATATATTAATTACCTACCTAATGTCTTCCACTCTTCATACGTAGCCGAATAATTCACCAACTCGCCAAAATTTTAAATTCATAGAAGTTCTAAATGAACAAATTTTCTACATTAAACAAATTTGTATACAAATAGGTATTAGGTAGGTACCACAGAGTAGGTATTAGGTACACTGATTAATATACACATAGATTGGTACAATATATTTATCAAACAGTTGGTATTTACTGATTTAAGCTATTTTTCATTTTTATATAAAACTATATAATTTGTATTGTATTTAATTATTTAATGCACTTAATTATCTATAATATTTCGAATTTAAAGTTTTAACTTTTACACGTTCATTTTTTTTTATACAAAAATATTAAATAATATATTTGTTTTGTTTTTATACATTGTATAACCTTAAATTATTTTTAATTTAAAAAATAAATATTTGAGATGTATATAATTTAATTATCATTTACATTATAGGTTTGTGCTGCTGTGTAGAAATATTATGATAAAACTTCAATAATCAATAAAATTGTTTATTGTAACTTAAAAATTAAAAAATAGTAGGTACCATCGCTCTTTAAGTAAACTTTGAACTAATTATAGGTAACTAAAAAGGAAGATTAATTTTTAAACTAATGTAAATTAATGTACCTAACCATTATCAATTTAGACTTAACGATTTAGCTTTCTATTTTACGTAAATATAAGTATCACATATTATTTAATACAATCGATTCAAAACAGTCATTAAGCTAAGTCAATCTGACGATTGGAAATTGAACACAAGTAGTAAGAGCAATTTTCGAAAGAATCGCAAAAAATTGGAAAAGAAAAAACTAATAATTTCCCCAACCATATTTTGAAATAGGCAATTAATAATACTTCAATGTTTTAATGTCAGACAAATAATTACTAAGAGTTTGAATGATTTTCAATGTATAGGATTTTATACTATTATTTAAAGTTGGTTTTAAAAATATTTAGTTAATTTTAGATTAGTATTGCTCAAATAATAATTATTAGTAAATCGGTTGTAGAAAATGAATATCTAAAATTTTTATATTAGTATAACAGTCCTACTGTAACATACTAAATCTTATCATTAATGAACTTTAATGTTGTTGTTGTATCATAAGAATTTGTAAATAAAAATATATTATTTTTAAGTACCTAGTAAAACAAATTTTACTTTAAAAATTTAAATGCATAAAATATTAGGCAACGGTACATTCCTTTTGACATATTTTATCTATCAAATGATGCATTTTTTCACCACCCAAAATACAATGAAATAATACACTAAAAAATCTTAAATAATATGCTATATGCAGTTTATGATACTTTATTTATAAAAAATATGCATTTTTGTAAGAATAAACAACTTATAAAAATTATTTAATCAAACATTATAATGATGAAAAACATGCATTATAATTTTATTTTAATATTAAATATATTATTTTAACAGTAAAAAATAATAATTGAATCTATAGTTTGCTATATGATTCAAAATATAGCTAGGTAATCAATAATTTCATAGGATTATTGATTTTTAAATTAGATCTTTTATAATTTACATGTTTTTACTTCACAAAAATATGCATTAATATATTAATAAAATCATTGAATAGGTATGCAAAATCACTTAAATTTGGTAAACTATTCAACAACATATGGCTTTGAAGTTAGATTATAAATTCTACAGAACAAAAAAAAATCATATTTTGATTATAAAGTTTCCTAAAAAATGTATAAGTTCACAAAGTTCAAATCACTGCTTATTATGTATACATGCATGTATATTTATGTAATCAGTTAACTGTTTAATAGATTTCTAAAAAACAAAACAGTAAGTGGTAAAAATTGTATTTATTATAATTATATTGAGTTAAAATACTCAAGTTCTATCACCTTAATAATGCTTTGTTATAAAAGAAAATTATATTGAAATTAAGTAAATTTCCATGTATAAATACATTGAAAATCATTTGAATTATCGAAACAATTAAAGCTTAACAATAAACCAATAAAAGTAAACATTCTTAATGATATTTATCTAGCAAAGAAAATGTGAAATAAAAAAAGTTTGTAGATAATTCAAAATTGTTTTTATCACAGTAGATTCAAAACAGGTGATGAATACGAACACAGTTAGTTGATCTCTCAGAAGAAGTTTATGGAGATTGAATTGATGTAGATTTAAACCTCAATGTTGTAGAGATTTTAACAGATAAGAAAAATTGTAGTGGTTATGAAACTTTAACAATTTAAACAGGCTGACACTAAGGATAAAAAAGAAAACAATAAAGCATCCCCATTAAGCAAAAAAATTATGAAAGCTCTTAGTATCCTCAGTAAATCAATTCAGCACAGCATGGATAAAAAAGACTATAAAGTTTGAGTACCTAGGTAACATTACTCTTATAAAAGCATGGTCATCAAGTTACTTGATGCAGTAAAACAAACATTAATAGATACATATTTTAAATAACACATACAAAATAATATAAGCTGCTATAAAATAATCACAATATGATTTATGTAATATGTAAAAAATACCTCTATACTTTTTTTTAATTATACATATATTTAATTTTTTTTTCATAATATGTAAGTACATATGAATAAAGTTTAAAATATAAAACCCATAAACAGTCAGTCCATTTTTACATCCCACTTTGATACAAAAGTATTCCTATTAAGCAGCTTTTACTGTATTATGACCTGATCTAATGAAAATTTCTAGTTTCATCCATGATCATAATCAAAACTATTTAAATTAGAATAATATGAACTATGTCTCTAGACAAATATGAAATTTATCAATAAATTCTAAAACATCTCATCATATACTGTTTTAATAACTGTTGAACTTATTGTTGGAGTAAACCTTGAATATTTTTTAATTCTGTTCAAATATTCTTTCACTAAAAATGTAAAAATGTAAATATAAATAAATATAATTATTTTAATTTTCTAAAAAAAGATACTTTATATTGCAATTGCAATACATGTGAACAACTATCTGACATTTTTCATCTTGAATGGACTGCATGTGATTATAAATATCAAATATTTTCAGGAACAACAATGAAAATTTCATTTGTTGAAAAGTTGAAAAATCTAAATCTCATCATAAAACCTGAAATCATTTTTAAATCATCATTAAATAATACTCAGAACAATTGATAAAAAAAATTGGAATCAATTTATTCAATGGTTATACTAATAAATTTTAAAACAAATCTTAATTGATACAATTAATAATACAATTTTAATTCAATTTTTCATAAATTATTCTTACTAAATTGAATTTTAGCTAGAATTTATGAATATGCCTTGAATACTTAAACATCAATGGTCTGGTCTTATGTTGGACGTCTTCAAAGTGCTCAGATTTTAAGAGAGTAGGGAGAAGATGATAAAAGAAAATTCATCAAAAATTAAGCAAAAATAATGAATAGGATTTTCAAAGTTTCAAATCTATAACAAACTGAGCAAACGCTTTTTTATCTATCTATCCCAAGGTTTTCATTTTGAGTTGATGTACACAATATATAGTTGAGAAGAGTGTGTCAACTACCTTCTCAACCACCTACCATATTTAGAAAAACTAGTCTATTCTTGAAAATTTCAGCATAGTCTGGATTAAAGATAAGTAGTAATGAATTATGAGTACACTTAAATCCATACAGTCTTGCTTTATCCAAATTCCAAGGAAACCAAATTTTACCTCATCTCCATTGCCATTTGACATGATATGTTAGTCCTTTTCAGAGCATTCAGAAAAAAGGAATGATTAAAGACAATGCATGGAGAACTAAGTAAAAAACAATGCAAATTATAGAATTTGAATCCATGGCTCCATATATCATATATTGGACACTGAGGCACAACCAATTGAATCACCGTAATTAATCCTTTCAATTTTATTCATATCAATGAACTCCTTTTTAGGCCAATGAATGTATCATACTACTGAGGAAAAGAGCGAATGGGTCAAGGTCTTGAACAATTTCAATATTGTACATTAAAGTAAACCTAAAAAATAATAGATTAAATTAGAAATTAAAACAAATATTACATTAAGGAATAAGTACTCGCCTAGAAATGGTTAATTTTTTTAAATTAAATTTTAAGTGATTTCTTTTTAAATTTTTAATCTAAAATATAATAGATTTGTATACAATAAAATATTCGTTCTAAATAAACTATTCAGGTAAAAAACTTATTTCATATTTGGTCTAATTAATGATAAGACAATTGTAAGTAGTTCATTATCTTAAAACAAACCAGGGGTCAGGAAAAATATAACGAGGCAAGGCTGTAAGTAGCAGGTATGCATAGTATTTTATCACATATGTTAATTTTAATAATATTTAATTTACTTTTACCAATATTTTACTAAAATATAGTATTGACTCATTAGTAGATTATTGGAATTAAAAAATATAATCAATATAATTTTGCTTGTAGGTTTTAGGTGAAATTAATTTTAAAAATAATAAACAATAATAAAATTTAAAATACATATAGGTATATTATGTGAATCCGTAATTTTAGCTCAAGATTATTCAAGTCTCAAGAAGTAAAAACTGGTGAAGCTGAAACCTGTAAACAATTAAAACATACAAATTAGAAACAAAAATTAAAAAAAAATATTTCTCATAGACTTAGGTAATACCTAAGTATTTATTTACCTAAGTAATCATAGATAATATATATTATATATATTAATTATGTATACCTATAATGAGGCTCTTGTTATTAATTAATTGTTAATACCAAGAACTAGTTAATGTCTTTGGTTAAAACTATTAATTTGGTTACTCGTCAGTTTCTACACAAAACTATGTTTATATTGCCTATATTTTACTCCTTACGCTGTTTAGTTTTCACCAGAATAAATTTTAATATAGGTAATATCTAATAATTTATAATTTTGCTAACATGACCTCTGACCTCTGTGTCTGTAGTCATGATTAATTATAATTTGTATTTTGTGTTACCTGTCTATCATTTACTATCATTTGGACAATTTAATTATAAACAGTTAAATGTAAATGAGGGAAAATTTAAATTTAAAAAAAAAATACAATAAATGTCTTATAGATATTTAATATTAATCTAGAAAAACATATTTCCAGAATATATTATATATTATAATTATGTACAATATATTATCTTCAATGACATTACTTTTAAAAATATTTAATTTTTAAGTTTAATATTTAATCTCTTGACGAAAATCTTCACTGAAGGGTGGTCTCTACAATTTGTTATTCCCATCTGAATATTATTTGTATCAAATATTGTATCACTTAAACATATCTGTAATAGATAACTCAATACAAAATTATGCTATAAAAAAATAAAAGTTTAATGTGTATTCAAAAACTTTATACTACATTTCTTAAGTTATATTCGAATGTCTAGTTATTTTATTTCTTAACATTAAGCAATTTGAAACACGGAATATGATTCAAACACGTCACCTGCAGCTTACAACTAAGCAATTCACAAGTTGTAGTTATTTATACTTTGCAAGTGAAATAGCTCAATATTTTCCAATATTGTTGGCATTATGTAAACGTTAATGGTAAACTAAAGTTACAGTTTAAAAGTGGAATTATTATTTTCATTTTCATTTTCTTATAGGTACTTACTTGCTTGGTACACAATTTCTGAACCCTCTCAGTAAATTTTCGATACACGCCTGCTTGATAGATCTATGCACCCTCTAAAGATTTTAAATAAGCGTTCCTAGTCACCCCGAGTAGTTCATCTCATAAATCGCTAAATGTTAAAAGCATCGAAACCCTCTCATCTACCAAAAGTACCAATGCTGTTCGAAACACATCAGAACTCGAGTAAACGTTCACGGTCGCATCGTCGGAACATTATATTTCATGAAAACGTTGTCTAAAGCATGAAAGAAAAAAAAATTAAAAACACCGACCGAGCGTAGGAGGCGCGCGATCAGTCGGCCTTTCGACTGTAATCGAGCCGACCGAACCGTCTGAACAAGAATAACATCGCGAGTCGCGACTCGCGAACGGTGAAAACGTTGGAATCACCTGACGGCCGTCGGAAGAGCTGCTGAGCGGCCGATATGCGCGCACAGTGCACACGCATGGCTAAAAAGATAACAATAATAACACGACGACCGCACGGCCCCGAGCCGCAGCTGGTCCGGGCCGCGCGCGCGCGTG